TTCGACGTGTTTTTTTTATTGAGACTTTTTTTTCGTATCCAGCTTCGAATTTATTTTAGATTGCAAAACGTTGCTGAAATGTTACTAGGTTAAGAGGTAAATCAGCAAAGAGCGCCGCTCTGAGAGAGCAAAAGCACGGTTTTATCGCTTTTGTTAGGTAGAAGGTGGATGGGTGGGTGTGTTTTGGACCCTCTCGATGGTAGACATGCAGCAAATCGTCCGTTCCGTTTCCAATTCCGTGTGCTTGTATACCCATACTTATTACAGTATATCTGTAACGCGCCTCCAATAATCTGTCGGGTCCAATAATAATTGCCGCAATTTGAGAGCGCGAGACGCGGCGCGCGCGGCATTTAAGACGCCGCGTTTTCCGCGATCGGAACGCGCCCTCTCTGGAATCCAGGCTCTCTTTTCGAGCACGTTTCGTTGCATAATTTATAACACAATGTGTAATTTAGGAGCGCGAGCGAGCGTGGAAATTTATTAATGTCATCGTTGGCTTTGGCCACGGCGACACAATTTCCTGTTTTGTTTCTGTTTATTTTATTTCATCCTTTTTCCACAAAACGACAGAAAAATAACAAACACGCGTCCCAAGTTGAGCAGATATCAATCGCAAAAACAGCCAGTAAAAAATATATTTACGTGTGTGGATATAGCTAAAATGAAGAGAAGAGGTAATAAAAAAAAAGCTCACTGTGATTGCGTGCTGGAGCTGCGGTGGCGCCACACGTGGAAATTCTACTAGTTTTGGGTTGTTGTGTTATTTTTGATTCTTTTTGTTTTTTTTTATGAAAACTTGTTGTTTGTTTATTTATTTGCATTTCGGTGTCTACCTGGACGCACGGAATTTAGCTCGCAAAACCGCGACTGTTTCCGCTCGAATAATGCATGATTTTAATTTTATGTAATTCCAATTTCATACCGAAACACAACATCCAACATAACGCACTCGTCACAATAGCATTTAATGATCGTTCTTTCCGTCTCTGTGTCATTTCCACCAATTTCGCTTCGACCAAAGTACACCCACGCACGGAAAGTCTCAATTTCGTGACTCACTTTACAGTAGCCGCAAAAAAAATAACAATGAAGCGTTTCAACTTTTACCGCCAATATTTCAAACACATTTCATAGAATTTTCATTCAATACACAATCATCATTGCTTTATTTGTATTAACATAAAGTTCAACCGTAAAAACACAATTATGAATTTTATAAATTTAACTCATTAAATCATTTGCAATTCTAACACTCACAACTTTTTGCTCTTTTTATAAAGCTTATTGTGTGCAAATATAATAATCAATCAATTATGTCACAAGAAAACAAAAGAGCATAAGGCTATAATAGAACCCAAGATTCTCGCCTACGTATATCTTATTATTTCTTAAATATAATTCGCGCGCATTAATCTTGAATATTCATAATTATGCAAGCCTAGTGAAATTATTTATAATAATAATATAATTGTTGTAATTTAAATAAATAAACTTTGGTTTGGAAATGAAAACATGTGCAGGCATAAATCAAAGTTTTATATTACAACTATTAGTGATTATCTTTTAGCACGTGTTTCAAATTATGCATGAATAACGATTGCTCCATTTAAATTATCTATACAAATGGCAATAAACTAATTGAAAGGTAAATAAATCGAAATGTGAATTTTATTAATTTATTTAAGAAATTTGAATTTTATTTTTATGCAAATAATCTTGCATTGATTTATTTGTGTACTATACACAAAACATTTGTATACGTCTTTTTAGGCATAAATATGTAGGCGCCAGTCCTACAAGTAATCAAGCAGATTTCTGTCAACTTCCTACTTACAATTATATCTATTTTTGAATCAACAAATGCTTACTTAAGTTAAAATACAAATATTTTTTTTGTATTGACAATAAATTACAAAAATTCTTATTGAATTTTTATTACATTAAAGTAATTAACTATTTCTGATTTCTATTTGGGATTTGTACGAATTTGTACAAATGTAATAGTAGTGTATATTGTGTAAATGTTCCACTTATTTTAGCATTGTTTATGAAATACTTATGTTTGTTATTGTTACTATCCGAGTTTAACCTAGTTTTTGAGAATTATATATTTGCAATAAATAATGAATAAATCTTTCATTTCTTCATTTAAAAGTAACTAATACGTATTGATAATTATCAATTTATGTCAATAATTTCAAGTAACGAATAATATGAATAAAACTTTACAAGATTAATAAAATACTAATCTATGAATATGGAAAATTTAATTTAAGTTCATTTATTGCAAGATTCGATCATGATTGATAGTAAATAATTTTCAAAATTTCTAGATTTTTTCCTTATTTCTTCGGAAACATTTAGTGCGATAAAGTGAACGAATCCAGGGCATTTCCTCTGCCCGATTTCCTTCCGAAAGATTAAAAAGAACGAGTAACTCTGCACAATACGAAATGCCATATATAAAAACAAAACTATTTTTAAACCGCATCGATACGTACACGAGTGGTCGAGTCTGTGTGTGTAGTTGTAGGCTGTGACCCAATTCCCCAACGAATTAAGCTCTCGTTATATTTATATATTTCTCTCGCTCCGTGTGTTTTCCTTCCCTCTTGTTCTCTCTCTCTCTCGTCTCTATTGAACGGGGGTGGGTGGCTGGGAATGTGCAATGCGCCACTCTCTTAACAAATATTACTTATTCAGCCGCCCACGAGATCTGCAAATTGTGAAGAGCAGAAGAAAAAAAAAGAGGAAAACGTGTAGAAGAATTTATTGCTTTAATTTAGCTTGGAATTATTTGGGAAAGTTTTGCACCCTTAGAAAATCTGCTGAGAACACCATTTAAATTACGCGCGGAGCTTACGAAACTGCTATTCTCTCGTTCATTATTTTATTTTGTTTATTATTTTTTTTTGGGCAAAAAGTGACCTACATACCTGTTGCTGTGTCTGGCGACATGAAAGTGAATTCACTTTTCATTTTTAAAATACATCGAGCGAGCACACAATACGTGAGCTGCGTGTGGCAATAACTAATGTAACGGATGGATGGATTTCGGTCGCCGAATATGACACATTCATATGAATGCGCAAGAAAGAGACGACTTTAAGACTCGCTTTTTTCGTCTCTTAAGAGTCCCCCCAAACAACGGCGCCATTGTGTTTGCCACGAGATGGGGGGAAACCACGAGCAAACAGCGGTAATCGATGAACAAACAAGATAGTTAATATTACCAGACGCAGCAAACCAATCTTCCTTCTTCTAATGCATAGTACCAATATTGTTAGAATCTACCGGAAGATAACGGCCTTAAGAAAGCTACTATTCCTGAAACTTTTTTTTACACATCCCAACCCCTGTTTCGCTGACTAAACAATAAAGTTTCTCCTCGGAGCCGGTTTACAGTAAGCAATACGGAATCTATAACACAACTTTATGATTGTATTCTTTTGCGAATATAAAAATTTCTCTTACTTTTTTTACCAGCCATAAATCGGTATATGGAAAGGTTATTTCAAATAAAAATTTCACTCAATACTGACAATCACCAGAAAATAAAAATTGTATTTTTTATTACATTTTGACTACTTCAATTAAATTTGCCGAAATAGTAATATACCAAAATTCATAATAATTTAAATTTCAACAGAACTCTGCAACCAAAATGGAACTTAATTATGGTCATTCGGTATGAAACATATTAATCTCAATCTAAATAAACGAGCTGATACTCGATAAATACGCATTTTGTATGTGAACGTTTATAAGGATAACTAGATGCATGTTTTAAATGGGTATGCACATAACCAAATGCTTTTCATGTCCATTTTTGGAAACGCCAATAATCATTATTGCTCATAATTTAGCAGCATTTGTTCTCCAATTGAACTAGTTTTATTTCTCTTTCTCTCTAGTGTATTTGATCTATTGAAAAATAGCCACTAAATGGAAGATAGAGATATTGCAATTTATTGAATATTAATTTACAAAATTTTTATCATTAATTGCTTGATTATATCAATCAATAATAACAATGTATTCAAATATATTTTTGATTTCCCGTCGTAGTCTTAAAATAAGATGCATAAGAACATTTTAAATAATCATTTAATATTGATTAGTAACAAAATCCGATTTTTCTTATAATTTTAAATCAATAATCACATATTTAAATATTATAATTAATTAATGGCGTTTTTAAAAACAACTGATAAAATTAATTAATAATTATTAAATAATATATTGAAATGTAAATTTAATCGGATTTGTGTTTATTTTAGAAGTGCAAATTTTAAATGAATATTTTGGTATATTTATTTATATAATATGACATACTATAAAATAAAGTGTTTTTTGATAAGCAAATAATAATTGTAAGAGTAATTGTAATAATTGTAAGTAAAAATAAATTGTAAGAAAAATTAGTCGCAAAATGGAACGCATTATCGTATATTACATTAGTGTATATGGAGGAAATTGTTTCACTATACGAGTAAAAATTCGGAAATTTTGGAACAGATTATGCTCGTTAAGAGAAGTTCCACTGTATTAAAAAATAAATATAAATACTAGGTAAGATTAAATAAGTACTTTTATTCGTTTGATCAAATTCTGATTTTATGGTGAAACATTGTACATCACGTGCTTTGACTATGAAATGTATTTTGTAATTTGTATCCAAGATAGAAACTTCATTGTTGCGTTTCTTTATGGATCAGACTTTGTCTCTGGTACTATTTTGGTTTTCGTCTGAGATATGGTGAATTTGGTAAAAGTAATGTGGTTTGAATGCAGAAGTAGTATGGTGATGTTGAGTGTTTGCGCGCGCGCGTTCGCCTGTTGGAGCTGTTGGCACACAAAGAGCCATTGCAACATTGGCGCTATTGGGTAATTTAGAAATTTAAGTCGCTTGCTTTGGTTTATACCACATCTCACGTGTGCGAATTCGATTCTCGCGATATCCCGAAAGAGATAGATTTAGTATTAAAGGGACTCACCTTCGAGTTTCATGCCAACTTCTAGGCACTTCTGGAATCGGCAAAAGGGACACCTCTTCCTCTGAGTCTTGTCGATATGACAGCTCCGTTCGGCGACGCACGTGTAAACTTTCTTGTTCTGCACCGTCCTCTTGAAGAAGCCCTTGCAGGACTCGCACGTTAGTAATCCGTAATGGTAACCGGAGACTTTGTCTCCGCAGACAGGGCACAGCTCCTCGATACCGTCTTTGGTGTCAAGAGGGTCCGATGCGGAGGTGGTGATGGTGGTCGCCGGCCCAGAGATTTGGTAGTTGGTGCCCATGTCTACACTGGACAGGCCTCCACTCCCTGGTGAAAAAAGATACGAGGTGTCTAAGTTACTGTGTCCGATCATCATGCTTTGATGTTGCTGATGATGCTGTTGTTGCTGCTGCTGCTGCATGGAGATTTGTTGGCAGTTCGTGTAGCCACCCCCGAGCGGAGGTGAGCCGTATTGGGGCGGCATGGGGCTGGAAGCCTGGTTGCCGCCCACCGGCGAATCCCCCGAACTGGCGTTAAAAGGGGACATATTCAACGAGAGCAACGTGGAATGGTTCTCCATGTCAAGTAACATTTCATTAAATCAAGTCAAGTTTTAAATCCAAAATATTGGAAATGCGCGCACAATATGCACAACTAAAGCACAACCCACAATTAGATGTAAGAAATATCTAATAGTAGCGGAAAAAATAGTCCTTGGTAAATGGTAAATTTGAAAAAATAAATAAACCAAATGAAAAAGAACTTTTGTGATGATTAACGGTTGTTAAGAGGGTGTCATTATTCTATGGAATCACTTGGGTGGTTGATTGCTGCAGGTGTATGCGCGCACTATAGGTAAATCATCGCACGTGATTTTATAATCCAATTAAAGTAATATAATAATATAATCCAGGTTTTTTTGGGTAGAACAGAACAACAACACACGTTTCGCATCGGCGGTGAGTGATGATATAATAATGTTGTGTGCGAAGCGATCTGAAGAGACGACGAACAACAACTGTCGTGGTATGCGAACACGCGTCTCTTGGGTATTTCGAAAAGAGCGTCCGGTTTGCCGGAGCAGTGAATGGTGACTGACCAGCTCTACAAGCTGAGGTTCGACGGTGAGGCTGAAAACCGAACTGCCACTACTCTGCGTACGTCTCGCGTGCTCGGTGTACGGGGGTACAATGGAAAATGATTAGGAGCCCATGTAATAAGTGAAAGTGACTCTCGGGACTGACTGGTGACCCACTTTCCCATGAACCAGGTCTATGTTAGTGCTGTTGTGAAGTCATACACACACACACTCCAACACCATCAACCACACACACATATGCATGAACACATATACACACACGCGCATACACATACATATGTACACACTTACAACATCGATGTTGTGTGTATCTGGGCTCCCCGGCGCTAAGTGGGGATGTCCCACTGACCCACTTACAGACAGCGCATCGCGAGGGGCCACGCGCAGGACAGGGATTCAATTCCAATACATCACATCGCACTACATCATAGGCTCGTCGCAGCCCGCGCAACCCTCACCTCACCCACACACTCGCTCACTCACTCATCATTCAGACAGTCAAAAATCGAAGGATAACATTCGAGACTCTGCACAGAATTACATTGGAGAAAAGACGAAATCGGGATGATCACGGTTTACTTTGAATTTTTGCTTGGTTTCGCGAATAGCGGCCATATGGGTCAACCAAGAATTAGGTGACCTACTTTTCTGCCTCCCTTCCTTGCTTCCACTGACGCGAAAGACGAGGAGAGCAGATTGGCTTTATCGCGTCTTTGACGCCGTCGTCGTCCGCGCAAACTCGTGCTCAATTCACAAACAACAGTCTTAATCCCAGATCAAACATTTTTTTTTAAGAATACTGTATATACATTTATTTCACCAAAAGTTGATATTCTAAAATGTTTGTGATTTTTACGATTCCATCAACCACGAGGTTCTTTAGCCAACAATCTGCTGACGAGTAAACACAATTATATCACGAAACCAATATGGGGGCTACATTCACATGTATATTGTATATTTTTTAATTAGATAACACAAAATATCTTATGATATGAATTTCTCATCCATAATAAACATTTCACTTTCATTTATTTCTCTTACGAATTGGTTCAATGTGATCAATACATTGTATGTATTGATCACACATTGAACGTGTTACTACCATATTCTCTTTCATACTTAATAATCGCATAATTTATAAATTGATATAATATTGCAACATCATGAAAGTATATTTATTCAGGTGAAATTCTTTCAAAAGTTGTTATTTTATGAAATTTAGCATAAGATTTCTAATGAAATGCTCAAATTTAATGAAATTCCTTACTATTATATTTTTAATGAAAAAACCAGTTAACCAGTTAAATATATTGGTGGTGTTATTAAAAATAAATGCAATTTAAATGTACTTTAATTCATTACTTAAAACTAAGGATTAATAAGAACTTCAGTTAGCTATTTCGGTATTTACTATTGTCTTCTCACTTTCAAATATGACTCATGAATATAATTTGAAAATTATTCCTTGTAAGTTTGCATTTATATGATTATCAAAAAAATTATGATATAATTTCCAAAATCTGAATTACTGGATTTAGATTAGTTCATGTCTGATGAAGTGATACATTATATTATTATTGATAATATTTAAGGTCATTGATGAATTTACAATAACCAGGAAATATTAAGAAAAATTGCAATAGATTTAATCAACCAACAAATAATTATTTAAATAGAATCTGGCAAAATAAATAAATTATACTAGATTATTTATATGTTTATTATACATGTAAACATATTTATTTAATGATAACAATAAAAAATAAATATTTGAACTAAACGAATGACATAGCACATTGGAACGTTCCAAACGATTGTTATTTATAAATGTACAACAAAACACATTTCAGTTTTTTTCTTTAGATATTTATAAAGCAGACACTCCTTTTCCTTATATATTTAATTTATTAACAATATTTTATTATTGTTTAGTATGGTTTCCTTAAACTTATATTTTACAAATTGTAAATATGTTTTCTCGTACAAAGTGAACCAAATGATTTATTGTCTGTCAATTTATCAATTTTGTGTTAAGAATTAAATATTACTTCATATTATATAAAAAAATCGCCGTGAAATATTAGTAATAATATTACAGAATTTTGGCCCAAATTAAGGCAATAAAAATATGTACATAAATAAATATTTAATTAAAAAAAAAATAATTTATTGGCCAGACATTAATAAAAAAATAAATTTCTGATTTTATCGATTTTGAATAATACAGTTTACGTTGCAACTGTATCAATAATAATTAATAAATTAAAGGAAAATGTAATTCAAAAATAAAAATAAGCATTATTAATTACTTAATTAAAATAGTCATATAATCATTTTTTGTTTGTATTTCTGATAAAACTTGGCCTAATTTTAATTTTAAATTTCTTGAAAAACTTTAACATTTCATAATATTTTTAACTATTTTCGTTATCCAAAAATTATATAATTTCCACAATTGTTATTATTTTTGATAAAACCTGTTCTAAAAATATTATCTGTTAAAAAAAAAAACATTCATAATATTTTAGAATGAATATACAAAAATATTATTTGTTATTTCTAAATTATATAATTTTTACTAATTCGATTTATCGTTGATATTTAATTGATTATTACTAAAATATTTATCAATTGAAGCATTGAAATTACGTAATTGTCGACATCGATATGTCTTCCTGGATAATATTCGGATATATTGGATCATCGAAAAGCTACACTCTTGATCGATTTTTTTTATAGCGCTTAGTGACAGTGCGAGTTTTACAGCACTTAGTATGTATCTAGTACACCGCATTGATACTAAACATATTCATACCACATTATTGTTTATTTACGCCCGAACTAGAGCGCTTAATAAAAATTTAACCGAAAGAACAAAGAAGCCACTACCAACACGATAAAATATTAATGTCCTAATATGCGATAGATACAACATTCAGAACAAAGAGCAAATTTCCAAGAATACAATTACACAATATTCTGATTTGATGTTGAAAATAATCGTTTTACAGTTAAACGTTAATTGCAACTGCTTGTTTTTTTCTTCATGCACGCCGCATTCTGAAAACGCCGAGAAATAATATACAGGATATATTATGGACAGAGCTATGCCAATAATTTATCCGAGCGCGGCGATTGAGACAAGTTCACCCACGTTTTATTAAATAATAACGTACAGGCAGGCATTACAGAATGCACTTTCCTCCTCTCATCAAATACACTCATCATAATACGTTCCATCCGTACATAGAGTACACAAATAGAAATATAATCATCGAGCGGCGTTTTATTTATTTACTCTTTAATTAGAAGACGAAAGTTCCCAGAAATCACAATCGCTTAAGACAATTTCAGCGATAGTTCATGGTAATTAATAATCATCATAATAAAAGGCGATAATCTATGAATGCGTTCTGTTAAAGAGAGATGTTCAAAAGCAAATTATGAATAGTTGTACTATCGAGAATACTGATGCATAAAGACAGAAATTTAAGATCTAAATTACTTGGCATTGCACAATTGCAGTTTTATAATTAAACAGTAAAATAATTAAGGGAAGGGTGGAATGACTGCGATCAATAGTTCTTTGTATGTATGTAGTTTTGTGATTATTTTTGCCTATTGCTGTTTATGCGGAACTGGTATATTAGTTTTTTTGTCAGTCCAATAGTTTTGTGTAAAACAGACGTCTCTGCTGCGTAAAGAAATGAACGGGGAAACTTTGAAAGCAATGAACAGCGCTGCAAAGTATTTAATCAAAGTTATTATTATTGCGACGAGACGCGCATGCACATCGAATTAATGTCAATTAAAATACTTCCCAAGTTAAGTGTCCCATGAAGCAGAAACAAGATATCGCAAACGATCCTTCTCCCATTGACATTTGCCATAAGTTTTATGTGCGTGCACATACTCAGTTGAACCTAATGTTTCCACTTTTTCATTCCAGCACTTTTACGTGTCATTAAATTTTTACTCAAAATATCGTCGGATGTTTTGTGTGCTTCTCTATCCTTCTTCTTCAAATTGTTGATGTTCTACGGAGACCACTTGCGATTTCATCGACAAACTCGTTATGGTTTCGTGATGTCATAAGTGAAGACCGATGCGTGCTTGTTTGTGTGTGTTCATGTATGTATGTGTATCTTTGATGGTGTGCTCGTTGGATTGCGTAACGCCATTATACATGGTGAACTGACACCATTCTCATAAGCCCCCACCGTGT